CTCGAAGGGGAGGCAGGCAAGGTCGACGAGGGCGGCGGACTTCTGGAACGGCTGGCACGAGAGTTCACCCCACCTGAGCGCCTGGGCGCTCGCGTCACTGTCAGCGGTGGAGAGCGGGCAGGCGAGCGTGCAGGCGGGGAGGGCGAACTGGGCCGACTATCCATCGGCGGCGGCTCCTGTTGTACCACGGTCGGGACATGGCGGCGTGCACAGTTGAGGTGCAGGTGGAGGTAACGAGCTTCCATTTCATGGATGCGTGGCGTGAGTTGCTCCACCCAGGCCAGTAGACGAGCACGGTGTGGTCGTTGTTGCGGAGGTCGGATTATGGGAAAATGTTCGCCTGGTTGAAGACGAGCAGCAAGTACCCGGAGAACTCGGTCAGGACGTTCACGAGCGAGGCGAACTTCTTCTAGCCAGCACTGCAGGGCCCATCTTCCTTCGGCCCCCTGTTCACGTGTTTGCATGTTTCGAAGCTCCTCCAGAAAACTCTGCACTGCGTGGACCTCCTCAGGGCTTGCGCCCGCCTGAGCAAGCTCATCACATTCGGCTTGCGAAAGCTCCATGAGACTCGAGACGTCATCATCCGGCGGGGGGGGCGCTGGGACCGAAAGAGGGCGGTCAGCTGCTGCTCGGTCACGCAAGGCTTTCGCCGCCGCATACTGTCTAAGCCACGCTGGTTTCCACCGCCCAGCAAAATATTCTTGCTGTCGTTGTTGGCGGCGGGCAACACGTGAGGGACCGGACCCACCTTGGTGCTGGCGGAGCTCCTGTGGGGTGCGTGGTCTGTCATGATATACACCATGATGCCAAAAACCCACCCCTGAAGAAGAAGAACTCGCCCCAGTGCTAGAAGACGTATTGTCGCCCGAAGCCGTGGAGAGGTCGGAGTTGGAGCACTGAACCAGGAAGTTGCCAGGAGCTGTAGTGGTAGGCGGGTCCGGACACGACTCTTGACAGGGCACGGTCTGGTCATTCTCCTCTATGGTCTGCAGCTGAGCCTCCGCCTGGAGTCTTTCTCGTCGGCGGTTGCGCACCGAGCCATTGAGGTGGTGCCAGCGGTCACACCCCGGGCGCCAGCATTCAAAGCGTTGGGTCCAGCCTTCGCCATCAGACTCTTCAGGAGGGGCAGAGGTGGCCATCAGCGGGGTGTCAGCCGAGCCTTGCGTAGTGGACACAGCAGGCGCAGCAGCAGCCAAAAAATCCATGTTCCGTCATCGAAGACGAGGAGGTTGTTGCAGAGGAACCCGACGAGGGCGATGCCAGTGGTGTGGACCAGGACCAGGTCGAAGAGGACCAGGATGTCGCCCAAGAGGAGGTACTCCAGGAATGTTCAGCCGGCTGAGATGGCTCCGGTGGCGCAGAGGGCCATGTCGAACTCGACGAGGGCCAGGGGGACCAGGAAGACGAAGTGCAGGTCGGCGATGAAGACGGTAAGGTCGATGACGTCCAGGAAGACCATGAGGAGGTACTCCAGGAAGGTTCAGCCGGCGAAGACGGCTCCGGTAGTGCAGAGGACCATGTCGAACTCGAAGAGGGCCAGGGGGACCAGGTGGACGGAGTCCAGGGTGGCGGTGAAGACGGCGAGGCCGACGACGTCCAGGAAGACCATGAAGATGTAGTAGAGGTCCAGGGGCCCGGCGAGGTCCATCCAGAGGCCATGCGCGTAGCTGGCGGTTCCTGAGTGGACGAAGAAGAGGGCCCGGAAGTTGCAGAGGAAGAAGTCGCCCCATGTTCCCATGTCGCAGTGGCAGGGGACTCCAGCGGCCCCCGTGGTCCACGAGAGCCAAAACCCAGGTTGCGACCGTCACGGAGCAGATCCAGGAGGGCGGTTCCACGGGGACCTTTACGTCGAAGTGCTCGAAGGTCTCTTCCATCCATGAGAGCCGTGGCATCCCAGGGCAGCTGAGACGAGGCTGCCAAGGTCTCAACTGCAGCAGGCGCCATCGTGGAGCACGGGGAGGGCCAAGAAGACGGACAGGTTTGTGCCAGGGCAACGTAGGATTCGTAGTCCGCAAAAGCCAGTCCAGCTCCAACTTCTGCATCCAGGTCCAAAGTCGTCCCACTTGAAGCTGGAATTGGCATCTCCGAGGAGGCAGAGGCAGCCTGTTCCTGGTGGGCTGCCGTGGACACAGGGGCCAACCAAGGCGCATCATAACCATGAGGAGGTAGAGGAGGCAGAAACTGCTGCACGGGAAGGGGAGCATGAGGGGCCTCAGGTTCCTGCCAAGTGTCATCCCAATCCTCATGCTGCGGCGGGGCCGCCGACCATTCATATTCCTATAGGTGTCCAGGGTAGTCACCCGTGGGCATAGCACCAACGCACCGGCAGTTGGCCAAGAGACACCAGGGCAGCCACCACGGCATCGCCAAAACCACGAGGCACCAGAGGCAAAGTCGTCCACGGGCGCCACGAGGAGGAGCCATGAAGGAGCAGAACGTGAAACGAGACCGACCAAGGAGCTCAAGGTCTCGAGAGGTAAGGGCTGCAACGGTCGCAGGCTGCATTGTCAAAGAAACTCCAATATTGTATGGGACACAATGTAGTCTGGGCAGAGGCAAAACGAGGTCAAATCAGCGAGCTGTCAGCACGAGAGATCAATCCAAGAGTGTATGGTGAGGGCATGCCGTGTTCAAGCTAGTACTGCATAGGCCAGCAAGAAAGCCAATGTTGTCAGGCGAGACAAGTCAGCTCGCCCCACAGGACGAGCTTCATCACAATCCAGCCGTGAAAACACGAGTTTCTCAGTTGCCTGGCAGAGCAAGCTGACGAGCACGAGTCCAAGGGACATCCCATCTTTGCACATACTGGGTACGCAACTCACCCCATTTTGCTCTGTCACATGCAAGAAGATGCCAGGCGACATCGAAGCTTTCAGCCATTTGTCGTTCAGTACATCCCGCATGAAACCTACGAGGGTGGCGACGACCGTTCGTCTTCGCCTGCTCATGTCGCCACCATTCCATGTTGCGCCACTTGATCGTTTTCATGGTGAGCCCGAGGTCAGCAGTGAGGCCAATCGCCGTATCTTCAAGGCGTCTGGCCCAGTGTCCCATGAGGGAATGCTGAAGGCCAAGTATGGTGGAAGACCAGCGGGGCACTGCATTTGTTGCCATCCAGTACCTGCAGAATCTAAGGCTTCTTCGATTCCAGTCGACCCAAGTTTCTTCGGTGAGGCGCTTGACAGCAAAGGCATCCCTGAGCAAGTGGAGCTGCAGCGTGTTCGCCGCCTGGAGATCATCTTGGTTCCAGGCGACAGCCCCAGCAGTCCAACTCCAACAGGATTCAACAAGGGTACGTATCATCCGAATCTTAGCCATCCAGGGGCCAGGTGCTCGCAGGATATCACGATGTTTGGCCGCAGCGACTCTAGCCCGGCCCAGGAGTTCTTTCGCTTGCTGAGAGGGCGGGGCATGAAAAGAAAACGAAAGGCCTAGGACCTTCACCGACTCAGAGGGATCCGAAATGACATAACGATCTTGCCCAACAGTAGCGAGTCGACTGCCACGGTAGTGAGGGCTAGCAATGATTTTCGTCTTCTCAACAGCCAGCTCCAAACCCACCTCTCGAAGGGCATTGCCGACGAGACGAATCCGCGGAATGAGCTTGCCAAAATCCTGTTCCACTACAAAGATATCGTCCTGGTAAAACATGAGATCGACATCAAGATCAGCGAGAGAAGGACCAAGATGCTGCCATTTCGCCCCCTGCTTCAGTGAACACAGCACATCGTCCATCACCAGGCCAAAGAGCTCCGCGCTTTCAGGAGCTCCCTGTTTGATGCCTATGCTCGACGAGATCTGGATGGATTCGCCGCCCGGCACTTGCCCCGACATGGAATGTGTGCGGAGCTGCAACAGGAGGTAACGAAGTTCGGCATCACAATCATGCTGCTGAAGTCGCCGAAGGAGAAGGTCAGCAACTTTGCGACGATCGACTCTGTCAAATGCTCCTGCTACATCAAGTTTGCAAAGAAGACATGGTAGCCGCCATTCACGAACAACATCACGAATTCGCCCCACTGCACCAATCAAGTCCGCCGTTTGGCGTCCTTTGCCACAAGATGAGATGGTGGATCCACGCCGAAGTTTCGGCAACGTCCTCTCGCAAACCAGCCTATTAACAAGCTTGTTGAAACAACTGCTGATACAAATAGGCCGAAGGTCTCGCGGTCCAGCGGGTGTGGGGCATTTGGCAAGCAGGGCGAGGTAGCTGTTGTTCCACGTCTGTGGCGCCTGACCTTCTTTGACAATGTGGTTGATGATGTCAAGGAGCTGAGGAGCAAGAACATCATCGTTGGCTAGCTCGCGAAGCAAACTCACCCCAATGTAGTCTGGTCCAACGGCGCTGCGACCTTTCATCCCAAGGAGCTGCTCACGGACTTCAGAAAGGCTGAAAGGAGGGAAGGCCTCAGGGTTGGGAATTTGCTGAACAAGGGACTGAAGCTCGTCATCCCAGGGGTTGGCAGAGTGAGCCGTCATCTTGCGAACAAAGTGTTCCTGCACCTGGGCTGTGAGCTCCTGCGAAGAGCGATCCAGCAGCATGCGACCCCACCATCCTTTGGTGCGACCACGTTCACGTTGAAGAGCACGATACTCCTCCCAGTTTCCCTGCAGAATCCGAGAGAGACGATTTTGTTGCCATTGTCGTCGGGCTCGCTTACGGGCTTTATGTGTACGCTTCCAATCACTTGCAGTCCCTGTCCTCTTAGCTTCCTGGATCGCCGCGCGGACTTCAGGCGGGTCCCGATATGCGCAACCAGGTCTCGGAGCAGTATACGAACGCGCCAGGGCCTCGATGTCGTCAGCATCAATCAAGTCTGCATGCGGCAGTTGGGACCGGACCCAACGAGCGCGCGAGTCCGAGCCCCAGCGTAAGGGAGCGATTTTATGCCTGGCGTAGAGCGAGGTGTGGACCAAGGCGTGATCAGAGCCAATGACATGTCGGCGCTCGGGATCAATGACTGCTTCATCGCACATGGCTTGCCTTATCCAGACAGCATCTATGTGGCGGCCGCGTCGACTGGGGTCACGCGGGTAATGAGTGGCAAGACATTGTTGGGCAGTACTGGGAGCACAAGGGCGGAGACCATGTTGAAGTGCGGCCTCGACCATGGAGTTGAGCTTGGTGGAGCCCGAGGCAAGCTCTGGCTGCTCACCCTGGTTCGCCCATGTCATCTGTTCGTTCACATCCACACCAAGCACAAGCGGGTATTGTCTCCATTTGGGCGGCAGGGCAGTGAAGTAGTCACTAACTGCACTAGTATAGACATCAGCCGTGACTCCGGCGTGGCAATGAAGCGCGCCCAGGACAACTCGCCCCAACCCTCTGATTCTGGCAAGTACCCAGCATCCCCTCGACGAGGAGCGACGGTCAATAATGGCATCAAGACGATCTTGTGAGACACCGATGGCCGTACCACGCCACTGTCGACCATCACGAAAAGTCACCCAGTGGAAGTAGTCAGTGTCCTTCGTATCCCATCCATCACCGAAAGCTTCACGAGAGACTTCTTGTACAAGAGCTATTTCGCAATCACGTAGGGCAAGATCAAGAGTTTCTAGATCTTGTCCTCCTAAATTCCAACATGCAACTCGCCCCCAACGGTGCGATTCACCACGGGGAGCAGCAGGAGCAGGGAGATCAGAGGTAGGTTCCTTAGGAAAGTCGCCCTCTGGGATCTCCGCAGGGGTGAAACTGTCAGCATGTTGTCACAATTCAAGCTCGAAAGCTGCCCGAGCAGCAGCAATCTCGCAGCCGGCAGTGACAGCAACCGCCTCCAAATCGACCCAGCCCCCAGACATCTGCACCACGTCCTCCGATTTGGGCATCCTGTGCGTAGCCGACCCCAACTTCTTGAAGCCGCACCAAGCCGTGCCCGCTGACCAATCCATATCGTAGGCCGAGAACATCTGGTTCATCTGGTGCTTGATGCATCCGTTGTCATCCTTGGTGTCCTCGACCAATCCGATCGTGACACGACGGATCATGCTGATGTGTGAGGTTCGCAATCTCGCATTTCTGGTCTTAACAAACCCCGCCCAGGCAATCTTGGACTCTCCAGCTTGCTTCGTGCTTTCCAGATTCAACTTGAGCGCGGCTACAGCTTTGACAACGAGCCACATGCGTGCTTTCACATCGTCATAGCCATTTTCCTCAGGTCGCTGACAGAACTTCAACATTCCAACACTGCGCCGGGGCCCGTAGACTGCCAACTTAGGCGTGTCAATGTGATCCTTGATCGTGGGATGAAGGAGAATGGTCTCACTCTCCTCCTCAATGACCGCCTTACGTGTGTCCGCAACCCAGCCTCCAATGATCAAGGTCTTCTTCTCGTCCTCGGTGAGCGTGTCGTTGGGGTCGGCGCCAAAGGTGTCCGTAGGAAGTGCTGATCCTTGTCCACGAGCGGGTCCAGGAGGAAGAAGATCACCCCCAGGTACCTTATGTTTGCGGCGCGCCGGACCAAAGGGAGGAGGCCATTCTTGTTGTCGCCTGATGTAGTCCGCCCAAGGGTCATGGGGAACATGGGCCAAGTCCTGCTTCTTGTCAAGTCTTTCACCGGAGGACTCCTTTGTTTGGAACTCATCCCATTGAACCTTGAGATTCTTGACCTCCTCCGTGAGCTCTTGAACCTTGACTTTGCCAGCCTCATGCTCTTTCCGGATTGTAGAGAGATCACGTTCCAAGACTTTAGTTCGCCCTTTAACAGACTCAACTTCACCCTTGAACTGGGTCTGGCGGCCCTCAACGGTGGAAACTCTCGACTCAACAGACCCGACCCGTGACTCAACTTCAGTCCATGCTTGGCGCATGCTCATCACGTGTCCTTGCAGTAGCTCTCGAAGTTCACGTCCTGTCATGGGGGCATCTGCACCTGGATCACCATGAGGACGCTTAGTAGGGCTTTCTACATCATGTTCATCTTGCTCAGAAAGGTCTGCAGCCGTCCCACGAAGTACAGTCCTCGCCGCCTCCGAACGAGCGCACTCGGAGGGCGTAGGTGCACCACGCTTGCGTTTCTCAAAGCTCCTGGGCTCCAAACCAGCCTCCAAGCCAGCCTTGTTGTCCTTGTCGTCGAAGATCTCAAGATCGGATCCATCGGCGATCTCGGTGGGCGACCTAGGCTCAGTCTGCATCGGCACGACGTTCATGTCACTCTCCGCCATGACGAGGTTATTCACGTAATAGACTTCTCCCACAATTCCAAAGCACTCCAAGAAGAGTCCCACAACTTTCACAAGCACCCCAGAGCGCGAGCGTCCACAAGTAGATCCACTAGTGGGTCGGAATCCGCAGGAGCACGGTCACCTGTGAGATGACAAAGTCACCCTCCCAGCGAAGAGCAAGTGCAGGAACACGGCCAGGTTGATGAAGACGTCGCCCCAAGAACTCACCCAGAACCACGACCAAGCCACACCAAATCTCCCCAAAGCACTTCCAAGACGACGAAGGAGGCCACGCAAAGTCAACCGCAGGCGCCGAGCAGCCGAACAGTGTGTAGAAGAACTCAATCACCGTCGCACCCACGTCGCCCCAGTGCCAGCCACCGCCCGAAGCACGATCAGCAGTTTTCCCGTGCAGGTCCTCGTCGACGATGGCTCGGGACACCTAACCGAAAGACACCTGGTAAGGGGAATTCGGGCCGAGATCTTGAGCCGTAGCCATTTTTAGCTTCAGAGTTTAGGGTTTAGGGTTTAGGGTTTTAGGGTTTTAGGGGTTTAGGGGTTTAGGGGTTACGGTTTCAGTTATGTAAGGTATCTTGTGCCCTATGTACCCTTTTTGCTCGTGGACTAAAGCCTACATAGCCTACATTACCCTAAACCCTGAAGCCAAACGCTCTTCAGCCAGTGGGGTTGGACAGAGTATAGGGTGCAGGGTTTAGGGTAAGAAGGCTAGGCTTCGGGAAGAACGCATAGGGCTTTGGGAGTCTTTACAAAGGCTTAAGGTACATATAGTCTCAGGGAACGTCTGCATGGTGTCTGAGTTGTTATGCTTATAGGGTTTCGGGATGTTTCGGGCCTAAACCCTTTTGAAACCGGACTTGATGACTGCCAGCATTGCCTCTTCTGCCGGAATGCTTGTGTGCTAACGTTTTCGGGCCTCAGCTGAACAACGGGCCTAAACCCTAAACCCTAAA